CACCTCAGATGACTGGACCACCCGGCCCACCCATCTGACAAGGAAGCTGGGCATGGGTCATCCTTGATTGTCCAGTTTTATGACTTGTAAAATGTTGACTCTCCTGTCTTAGTCCTCAAGAAAACATTTTTTCTCGCTACTGATTTGATTAAATGCATTGAGTATTCACTGGGAAGAGGCCATGATTTTGAATGTAGAAGATACATAAGTTGTAGATTTCACGCTCGCTTGTGAGGTAACCTCTGTGCTAAGTCATTGATAAGACAGTTCAGTCGGTGATGGTCACCCTGCATTAGTAACTGGCACTGGTCCTACAGGTTCTACTACACCAAATCAGAACCAGTTGGGACAGTGCGGTTTTCGTAGGGAGCCTTCAGTGCAGATAGAGAGATATCTGCAGGCTGTGATTGGAGGATATTCTGTAAGATTTTTATGTCTTTTAAATGTACATGCATCAAGTTATTAAAACTGACCATATTTTTCTATATTTAGTACTGTCTTTTACAACATGATGACTTATGCTAAATGTGACCACAGCTATTTTCAAGTAGGTGACATTGGGTGGGAAACTGGGGGTGGTGTGTTAAGCTTCCTGTACTCGGAAAAGGAGCTGGCTAAGCTAGTCATTTTTTATGTTTTTTATTGCTGCTCTAAGGCCAAACTGTGCACACACGTACAGGTAATAGCTGTTGAATGCTTAGTTATTTAAAAAAAAAATATAACATTACTATAGAAGTCTATGGGAAAACATTTGGTTGTGTGTAACCTGTAGTCCTTGCCAAACTGCCCAATAGTTAAGGATAAATAGAAATTTGCCATCTTCAACGGTTTTGCTACATGTTATCATCATAAGGGCTAGTGGACTAAAACTGGTAGTATCTACTGCTGTAACATCAGAAATATAGCTATGGTTCACGCTTTTACACAACATGAAATTCCTGCGTATTCGACACAATATTTTTCTGAAATACTCGCAAAAGTTTTTGATAGGAGTCACATTAAACTGATGCTCTAAATTCGCTAAGGAAATCTAAATTCAGACCGAGTATTAATATTATTTCTTAAATACTGACTACTACCACCGCCAGCTGTTTAAATGTTCAGAGGTTTCATAGGTAAAAAAAGAACCAGCAAAGATGACATGAGGAAATATCTGCTTCTTTTCCAGATGTTAAATATGGATTCTGGACAGCTGTTTCCAGCTTTTATGACAAAAACATTTGGGTTGCATGTAGGGCTGTTACGATTCACTCGTGTATTCGGTGAATCCAACCGTATCCATTCATGAATTGAATTCGTTATTCGCGACCACTAGAATCAAATATTTATGAATATGCAAGCATGTGCATTTACATAAAAATACCCATAAGAACATATTATATGCATAGATTTCTTCAAAAGACAACACTCTAATACTATTTACTTTGACAGTATTGTGGTAACAAGTTTTATTTTTGTAGCGTATCTGTAATGTTCGTTGCGTATTTGATACGCTTGGATTTTATTTTACTGCATATTTCTGTACTTCTGATGCGTATCTGCATAAAATACGCATCAGAAATACAGAAATATACAGCTTATCTGGAGCTCTGATTCATGATACAAATCGTATTGGCCTCATCGTGTATATGTTGCAGCCCTAGTAGCAAGTTAAACATATGATTGGGTCACGTTACCTGAAACACAAGTTGGTTTTCTTTTGCCTCATGGAATGGAGATAAAAGATCAGGGTTTCATGCGACGCACAAATGTGCATCCAGTACACACAAATACAGTCAAGTCTCGTTAATCCGACACTCGTTAATCCGACAATCGGCTTTATCCGACACTAATGATGGGAACCGATTAAATCAGTTCTGTTTAGACCCGTTAATCCGACAGTCTCGCACTCCGACTCCGACACACCTAATTTGCAGCGAAATACCGAAATCACTCATTAATCAGTCTTGTTAATCCGACACAGTGATCAGCGTACTCCGTGGTCATCTGCCCGCGAGTACACAGCCAGTGTTTTGATGCGAGGCGAGTCGGCTGGTAGCTGCATATTGCAAAGCTGCAGCGATAAACTTGCTTAACAATAAACAATTAATGCTTTAAATAAAGAAAACAGGATAATTCACATGCTTAGATTACCTCAATCTTATTATAATCAGATACAAGTTCTCGCTATCGACGAGGACATCCCATTACAAGTCACGTCAGAACAACCTTTCGCGAACTATGACCTACCAATGAAATGACCAACAGGAAGTCGACGTTAGCCACTTAGAAAGCAGCTTTCTTAAGCTTTGGGTACCAGTTTCAAAGTTGCGACTTCCATTCCAGACTATGCTTTTTAAAGTATTTTGAATCTGTCAAACAGTCCGTAACAGTTGTTTTGAGTTAAACTTTAGAGGTTGAATGATTAGAAAACATTTTCCGCCAACAATTTAACATAACAATATGAATATATGTTTTATATTTTTTATAACGTTGTTGAATCCTTATCTATCGTGTAGTTGTCCGATTTTTTATCACGAACGTTGATATTACTAAATTTCGTTTATCCGACATACTCGTTAATCCGACACAATCATATGCAACCATCGATGTCGGATTAACGGGACTTGACTGTATTGAGATTGGACGCAGAAGATACTGCATCCTGAGGGATGCACAAGAGTATTCATTGTACCTATAGGACATCAAGTACAGTTAGGAAAAACACTTCCATGTGAATTGAGTAAAACGTCAAACTTGAAAATGGAAAAAATAACCTGGTCTTGACCACTGTCCACATTATCATTGAATCATACCTGGCTCTAAAGTAATTTTCAAAATGAACAGTATATTACACCATTTCATTACTTTACAGGACCCTCGTATTGCCTGCAAGGACCATTAGTGTAAGAACGTAACCAACACCCTCGTATTGCCTGCAAGGACCATTAGTGTAAGAACGTAACCAACACCCTCGTATTGCCTGCAAGGACCATTAGTGTAAGAACGTAACCAACACCCTCGTATTGCCTGCAAGGACCATTAGTGTAAGAACGTAACCAACACCCTCGTATTGCCTGCAAGGACCATTAGTGTAAGAAGGTAACCAACAACCTCGTATTGCCTGCAAGGACCGTTAGTGTAAGAACGTAATCAACACCCTCGTATTGCCTGCAAGGACCATTAGTGTAAGAACGTAACCAACACCCTCGTATTGCCTGCCAGGACCATTAGTGTAAGAACGTAACCAACACCCTCGTATTGCCTGCAAGGACCATTAGTGTAAGAACGTAACCAACACCCTCGTATTGCCTGCCAGGACCATTAGTGTAAGAACGTAACCAACACCCTCGTATTGCCTGCAAGGACCATTAGTGTAAGAACGTAACCAACACCCTCGTATTGCCTGCAAGGACCATTAGTGTAAGAACTTAACCAAAAACTAAGACGCATCATCATACATTTTAGAGGTGGGACGACACATCGATGCATCGGTAGATCACGATTTTTTACTTCTCAATACACGTATCTATCATCACACACGAAGCAGAAAATATCAATTCTGACCTAAATTTTTTTATTTAATAACTGTTCCACTAAACCCTTATCAGTAGTGCAAGTTGATAGTGAAAACATACATATTTTCATTTGTTGTGCCATACTTGACACTGCAAACTGTAAATCATCAGTGTGCCAGGTATTTGGCCACCCTGTCTACGAAAAAGATGGCTTACGCACCACAGATAAGAGCACATGCAAGTATCATGATACATATTGGATCGTAAGGTATCATGGTTGGTTGGTTGGTTTGTTGTTTAACGCCGCACTCAGCAATATTCCAGCTATATGACGGCGGTCTGTAAATAATCGAGTCTGGACTAGTCAATCCAGTGATAAATGTCATGAGCATCGATCCACCCAATATGGATCGATGACATGCATCAACCAAGTCAGCGAGCCTGACCACCCGATCCCGTTAGTCGCTTTTTACGACAAGCATAGTCACCTTTTACGGCACGTATGGGTTGCTGAATACCCATTCTACCCGGGAATCTTCACGGGTTGTAAGGTATCATGATACGTATCGGATCGCACAGTTGGTGTATCGTCCAATCCTAATAAATTTGACAGCACACTGCCGAAAACATGGAAACGGCTGCACCAAAACACGCAGACCACAGCCTTTCAAACTAGGCATGCACAGAACAAGAAGGAAGTTGATAGTCATGCCATGAGGATTCGCAAACAGCAAGTAAATGCACAACTTACAGCACCCATACAGAATATTCTCGATGTGTATTGTTGTATTACTGCTGTAGGATGTAAAGGAACTCGTTGTTTGTTGATCCACATGACTGTCAACTTCCTTCTTGCTCTGTGCATGCCTAGTTCGGAAGGCTGCTGCCGTGTGTGTTGTGGTGCTGCCGTTTCCATGTTTTGGGCAGCATGCTCTCAGATTTAGTTTTTGGTTACATTCTCATTGTTTTATGTTGCAGAGTCCTTGTGTATTGTAGACAATGACAGTTTTTATGTTGCAGAGTCCTTGTGTATTGTAGACAATGACAGTTTTTATGTTGCAGAGTCCTTGTGTATTGAAGACAATGACAGTTTTATGTTGCAGAGTCCTTGTGTATTGTAGGCAATGACAGTTTTTATGTTGCAGAGTCCTTGTGTATTCTAGACAATGACAGTTTTTATGTTGCAGAGTCCTTGTGTATTGAAGACAATGACAGTTTTATGTTGCAGAGTCCTTGTGTATTGTAGACAATGACAGTTTTTATGGTGCAGAGTCCTTGTGTATCGTAGGCAATGACAGTTTTTATGTTGCAGAGTCCTTGAGTATCGTAGACAACGACAGTTTTTATGTTGCAGAGTCCTTGTGTATCGTAGACAACGACAGTTTATATTTTGCAGAGTCCTTGTGTATTGTGGACAATGACAGTTTTTATGTTGCAGTCTGTCAGTTTTCACAGGAAGGCCTGACCATGGCCCATTAAGGATGGAGGGGGTGTACTACTCACCTGACAACTGTACTTGGTCATCCGAGTTGGGGGAGTCAGCTCCTTTATCATGACTGGAAAAAAACAACAAAGTCATCAGTGGAATCAGGTTGAATCAGTGTCAATCATTTCCTACAAAAACTAAGTTAGATTCAAGGCTAAAGTCCTAACAAATGTTGGTTGGTTGGATTGTTGTTTAACGCCGCACTAAGCAATATTCCAGCTATATGACGGCGGTCTGTAAATAATCGAGTCTGGACCAGACAATTCAGTGACTGACAACATGAGCATCGATCCATGCAATTGGGATCGATGACATGCATCAAACAAGTCAGCGAGCCTGACCACCCGATCCCGTTAGTCGCCTCTTACGACAAGCATAGTCACAGCAAGCATGGGTTGCTGAAGACCTAATCTACCCCGGATCTTCACGGGTCGCTAACTGTGTGCACATCACAGTGTTGCTTCAATTCATGACAGGTCTACATTTCTACAAACACCACATGCCCCAGCTGATCACTATGGAAGACATATTGATCTGTGAAGGAGTGATCCAACCTATGCTTTCCGTCATCCTACAAGTACTCAACCAAATATCTTAAATGTGTACAAAAGTGCCACTTTTACAGGAAAATACATTCAATGATAAATGTTTGTGTACACAGTCAGAACAAAATGGTATTTGTTTGTTTATTTGTTTGTTGTTTAACGCCCCACTCAGCAATATTCCAGCCATATGACGGTCTGTAAATAATCGAATCTGGACCAGACAATCCAGTGATTGACATCCTGAGCATCGATCCACACAATTGGGATATGATGACATGCATTAACCAAGTCAGCAAGCCTGACCACCCAATCCTGTTAGTTGCCTCTTACAATAAGTACAGTCACCTCTACAACAAGCATGGGTTGCAGAAGACCTATTCTAACCCGGAGATTCATGGGTCGAAATGGTATTTAAGGAGGTGGGTGAATTTTGTATTCATGCCGACATACACCATCAAAGAGGGATAGAAATTATTTGGAAAAGAAAAAGAAAGATACCTATCCCAAAACTATGGGTGCAATACAATTTCACAAGTTGATATTCAGTCATGACAAGCGTAGTTGCCTTTTAAGTGAAGCATGGTTTGCTGAAGACCTATTCTACCATGGATCTTTAAATGTCTATTCAACTTTTTATGAGATGGTATTTCTAAAATCTATATTTAATCTAAGTCCCAATAAAAAACAGAAAGGATGGGTTGTATTTTGCTCTGGCACATTTAGCAGCAGCACCATATTCACACTAGAGGCACAAAATCATACAGTGTTTATATTTCACAAGTTGATATCCTATAATTTCTGAGATCAAAGATGGGACATTGTTGGGGAGAAACATGTTGGTAAAGTCACTGTGAATGTCCTGCTATTTATGTCCACCCATGGAGTACAAGAGAACCTGCATAAGTATGACAAGCAATACTGTATTGCCGGATCATTACACCACAAATGATATCATGAAATTAGGTCACATTCTCGTCCTTACTGACTTCTAAACAAACACCTGTTAAATGTATCATGCAATCCTTCAAAATATTACACAATATGTGGGCCGACGTTAACAATGTTTACTTGATTGAGGTGACAGCTTCGTAAACTATTTGCATTCAAACACACAACATGAACAATACTAGTTAATAGATCTGTGAGTTTAACCACTTGTCCAATGCCCAAGTCTAGTAAATGTACCAGCAGTCTGCAGGGGCAGATTTAACAACAAATCTGTATGTAGCCAACATAACAGGGCTTGCTCCTTTTGAAAGGGGGCAGTTGGGTAATCTAACGCGATCACTCTCCACGCCGACATGGGAACATGGGAAGCCCATTTCTGGTGATATTGCTGGAATATTGCTAAAAGCGGCGTCACACCATACTCACTCACTCTTTTTAAAAGTTACCGGCCCTTCTCCAAACTGTCCTACAACTAAATGGTGGAGGCCGCGAAAATGGCCAAACGTGAGGTCGCATAGCCACCAAGCAGGGCTCTGAAATGTTTATAACTCCTCCCCCAAAAAAACTTTTTTCCTGCACTCTAATCTTGGCTTCCATTTGCCTCATTTCATGGCAATTTATGGGCAAATAAAGAAACTGTTGTACACAACATTGCAACATGGCGGCCATATATCATTATACCGACATGATCCAATCATAAAAAAATAAACACACATGGATAAGGGGTGAAATTTTGAGTAGCCATACAGGACCTCTTCTTTACGTTTCAGCAAGCCCTTTGTAAGTTACACCAGCCACAGGCCAAGGGCCAGCAGTTAAATGAACCCCTAGTCTGGATATTATTTTTATAATTTTAAAAGTTAGGTCAGCATATAGCAATCAATACGTTCAGAAAATGATGTGCTCGTATTACTTAAAATTTCAGTTGGGCTAAAGATTCTGATATGTCTCTGGCTGACTGGCTGAAATTTTAATGGTGATTTTTTTATATGCATACCTCATACTTGTTCAAATAAACGAAAGATCTCCTGTTTCTGTAGATCAATAAAACCATCAAAAATTAAATTCAGGGCTCGATTTAAGGAACTTGATTTAACCGCATGTTGACATGAAAACAAAGTTGCAGTAGAAAAAACCAGGTTGCATTGTGATCCCATACGTTTATAAGGTGAAACATAGGCCAGTGTCACATAAATTAATAACTTATTCAGAGCCCCAGATAAGCTGCGTATCTGCGTAAAATACGCATCAGAAATGCAGAAATACGCAGTAAAATAAAATAAAATCCAAGCATATCAAATACGCAACGAACATTACAGATACGCTACAAAAATAAAACTTGTGCGCATCATCAAAATATTGTGAAGTAACCCTGCGTATTCGATTAGCAAATCAGCAACTTATTTTGAAATAATAAACGGGCATTCTGCCAACCTTGCCAAACTCCACGATGACAGTTACATCATGACCATTTGCCATCACACTTTCTTGTGGAAGTATCGTGGTATTTTTGAGTCCTATAAAGCTCTCGAACCTACACGACACCAGTTTGCAGGGACTAGATGAATAGTGTTTTTAAATATTTAACTTAAATACCCACATGTGTAAAAACTAGAAATTTGAATACCCAGATAGAATAACTGATACCCAATGATTTTAAAATGCATGGGTAAAATACCCACAACACCAAAAGCTTATCTTGAGCTCTGGACTCATTGCTGTAAAACGTAACAGGTAAACTTAGAGGTATTGAGTTTGTTAAAAGATCAATTTTGTGATTGCACTTGTGCATGTTGAATAGATAGATCAAGGCCTGAAATTAATACCTGAAAAAAATCAAGGTTGATGGGTTGCAAAATCAGAGTTATCCCCCTTTATAATAGTTTACTCATGATTTGCCATTTGGCTTCACTTTAATGGTAGCTTAGCAGAATACAATTTCTGGAAAAATAAACGGTCGCATATTTAAGCTAGTGAAACTTGAAGTAATCTTTAAGGCTAGCTAGCCCACCTGGCCAGCCATTTTCTTACACTATTTAATTTCACACACTGACCCAGCGCCACCTTTCTGCCACTAAATTCAAAAACTCCGATTTTACTATCTATGTCCCATTTTCTTTACTCATTCAAAAGTTTTGCTTCAACCAAGAAAGTCCATCTATAACTCGCATACGGTTTAACAAACACTTCATATTGCATTGACCCCCATTATCATGTCAGGGACCCAAAAAACAGTTGTTCAGTTATCTTAATAAAAATATAATAAAAAGGAGCCCAGTGACTCTCTTCATTTTCTGCAGTGATCTAGACTTGCCAAACATTATAGACTTGCATGGGCTGTATTTGATATATATATTTGTATCAGGGTCTGTAAGACAGACTAAGCATTTATCATCACATGACAAGATGCTGAACAGGAAACGTGACAGAAGATTAGCTGCTAAAAATAGCAATGATGATTAAGACTGCTATATCACATCTATATATATACAGCCTCTTCACTGTTGATAAGCGTTATTGTCATTGTGACGTGTGCTATCAAAACAGGAATACCCTACTCAGTAAAAGTCCCACGAAAAGTGACGTTCAAATCATCACTTCCTGCTTTGCCTTTAAACTAAGCAGTGCTTGACACTAACCAAAATGTCAGTGGTCCAAAGGATCTCTACTAGACGGTAGTCACAGCGGTAGAAACTAATATTTCTAGTCCACCAGTCTTTAAAATGATAGCATATAGCAAAAGCTGTAAAAATGGCGAATTTTGACTAGTCCTTATGATACCTTAACTATTGGGCACCTTGGCAAGTGCCAATTTCTAACACTGGCACACAGTTTGACCTTGACTAACGAAAGTGGGGATCCAGGGACCCCAATATTAAAATTAACTTTAAGGGTCCTGGCAGGGAATATGCGGGTACTGTAAAGTACCACGCGCTGTACAATTTGGTAATTTCTTTAGAACCTGGAATGAATCAAAGATCATGCAAACAGTGGCCATGATAGATGGATGATTGAGTGAGTGAGTTGGGTTTAACACCGCTTTTTTAACAGTATTCCAGTTATATCACGGCGTGTCAGCTTAATGTGGGAGGAAAGCCCGAAGTGATGCAGGTCTCACACGTTTACCACTTGGGTGAAACCCACGAGCACGGGTATGGTGCTGACAAACCTAGAAACATAATTGGGGCGAACCAGGATTCAAACCCACAATCATAGTTTTCTGGCGTGCCCAAGGGACGCAACTCTGCACAGCGACTGGGCCACCCGTGCCCCCGATAGATGGATGAAATGACAGACACCAATAACTCCTCTTGATGCGCTGTAGGTACAATGGATATCATTGTTCGACCACAGACGCGGTGTGTCATTTTCTGCGTCCATTCTCTACGTCTGTACGTACTGGACGCACAGTTGCAAGTCGCGTAAAACCCTGATGGTGCTTAGAGGTTAGACTCGATCTATTGCTGATTTCACAAGTCATACCAGGGTTAGAAACTAACAGTTTTTGTCCACTAGTCCTTATAATAATGACACATAGCAAAACCCTTAAAATGGGCCAATTTCTACTAGTCCTCAGGATACCTTTGCTATTGGTAAGGACTATAGGACTAGTGCAAATTTCTAACTGCATACTAACTTAAATTACTTTGATAGACTTTGATAGAACACTAGGCCACCGGACAACCATTTATTTAATTTTACTGGTCCTTAAGAAAATGTACTGAAGCCAGAGCAGCGGACTGCTAACGATTAAATTTACCAAAATATCAGTTCATTCCTATACATTGTGCAATGATGCAAGTTACACAAGAACTTAAACTACAGCCAGCAGTGTGTTAGTGAGTGAATTGGGTTCGATACAGTTGTGAGTAGTTAGTCAGTTATACCAAGGCATGCCTGTCGTGGGAGGAAGGCCAAACAGCAGGTCTTAGACATTTACCACATTGGTGAAACCCACAAACACAGACAATAATTGATAATGCTGAGAAGCAGCGGTCATAATTGTAATTCAAACCAACGATCCAATACTGGCGTGGGGGGGCTAAGGAACTCAACTCCGCATGCAGTAACTTGCAGGGCCTTAAATGACTGGACCACCCAGGCCTCGCCCCTTGTATAAGTTGACTCCCACGGGAATTCCTCACCACTGTCAGATACTGTATTCGACGTAATAAGGGCCCCGCACTAATAAGTGCCCACGGCGTATTTGCTAATATATTGGCAAGTGAACAATCCCAATTAGCATCCCTTCCGATTGATCAATGTACACAAGACTTATTTATTTGTGTATAATACGCACTTGTGTGTTATATGCACCCTTAATTATGGGCAGTTAAATTCTTGAAAAATATATCTGTATATATAATTTTACAAATTGTCAGTTGTGGGATCAAGCAGTGTTTCAGTTTGTCTGCGTCCACAACAAAATCAAAATCAAACGACTTTCTCTTTCCGAGCAATATATGGTCCCCGAGCTCTACATTTCTGATATTCTCCCACAACAGGTACTGGGTACCCTGGCACTATATTTCTGATGCTCATCCATTCACAGGAACTGGGGCACTTGACCCCCTATTTCTGTTACCTTCCCACCACCTTCCCATAAGTACTCACATCGGTCTGAAGCTCTGCAAGTTATCACAATGCACCAATCTAGAATACAAGTAGAGGTTGTTACACTAAAATACGGAGATTGAAACCAAGTCAGTGTTTCCAGGATAAGTGGATTTCTAATAAAAGCGACACACATTCACTTCAAATGAACTAAACATGCTAAAGGAAATATGAATATAACACTGAACTAAATGCATGGGTTTTCCTGTTTGTTGTTTTATGCACCACTCAGCAATATTCCAGCTATATGACAGCAGTCTGTCAGTAATAGAGTCCTGCATCTTCCCGAGGCAAGAGAGATAACTGACTATAAAAGACCAGTTTCCACCCTTGCCGAACTAGGCTGGTATTATGGAGTTACATTTTGGCTGGACTAACGAGTCTCTGCATAATCCAATCGAAATCGCGCACCGAAATCGAAATCCAGTTCATAAACTGTCGTGCAGATTTCGGGCGATTGAAGGATTTGCAAAGCATGTGTACCGCCAACTTGTTGTCAGCAGATATTTTCCAAATCTTTTCATGTTTCTAATCAAGGTGCTCACGTGATTTGATGCATTTCGCGATGTAAGACCCGTTTTATCACAATATAGATCTTGATTTTCGATCAGATCGTCCTGACTGGGCGCCACCATTTTGTGTGAAGCAAACGCAAGTGATACGAGAGGTGGAATTTGATTGGTCCATAGGAGATGCTTAGAAGGGACATAACTGGTAATAGCCAATGGTGACGCTACGATCGAGCCCAGTAATTCCAGCCTAGTTCGGCAAGGGTGGAAACTGGACTTTTAAAGTCAGTTAACTCTCTTGCCTCGGGAAGATGCAGGATACTATGACATGCAATCAACCAAACCAAGTTTGACCCCCACCCATCCCCCCATATCATGCATTCCCCTTTACGAAAATTCTAACCCAGAATCCCCACGCTCACACACAATGACACAAACCTTACACTTATGATATATATCATATTCATATAGAATCAGAAAGATTTCAGAATCATCGGCATAATTCCTACATTTATATTCACAACAGGGTTCTCGGTCATGCATCGCTGTACATGCTTGTGACATAGTGCAAACCCATTGTTGGTGATGGGTTTAAACATGGTACATGTTGCCTCTCTTCCCACATCATGTAAATATCATCCAACCCGAATGTTACAGTAAGTTTAACACAAACCAGATGGTTGTTGCATGGCTTAGATATCTCCGTTGGCTTCAAGAGATAGCATAACTCGGAGGCCTTCTCAAACCAATAATTTATATAGCCGAGGATGCTTAAAGTAGAGAGATCTAGAGAGGGTTTCAGGATGGGCACACCATGTTAACATGGTAGACATTAATAGTCTTACGGGGGATTGTGTATATGCCAGGGAATTATCTAGGATTCCAACCCAAGTGCTCTAAGCAGGAGAATTAGAGGAAAATTGTTATAAGGTTCAAATTAGATTTTTTGTAATGTTCTTATTTTTGTAAAACATGGTAAATTTTGAGGAATTGGGGCATTTTTGGTTCAAATTGTGAAATGTTATTTGCTGCAGACTTAGGGCAGAATATCGGTCTAGAAATCCCTGTTAAGATATAAAACACTTAATGGCGTATTTGCTTTTCAACAAAACTATTCATAAACCAAACTCACATATACGTCAACTTGTGCAGAGATTTATTACAAACTAAGTGCCCTTGGCAGGCAAATTGGGAAAAATATACTGTGATCAGCATATCCTGGTGCAACCAAGAAGCATAATATACTAGAAGCAAAGTAATCAAAACAATATTTTCTACTATAGGTCCTAGGATCATTTCAAGTATTAACAAGTTCTGATTTCCATTAACCATGCTGTGTGCGATCACATGGCATCTTCCAGTACTTTGACTTAATTCTTGTCTTGACCAGTAACTTTTGGGTTTAAACTAAAGGTACTGCTACTCATTTCTGAAAAGTTATTGCCTCCTTCAGTGCTCGGGTCGGAATGAGAGAGTGAGCTGGGATTAATGCTGCTTTTAACAGAATTCCAGTTATATCACGTCATGACAGCTTGATGTGGGCGTAAAGCTCAAAGTGATACAGGTCTCAGACGTTTTCAACTTCAGTGAAACCCATGAGCATTGGCCAGGGTTAGAAACTAACAGTTCTTGTCCACTAGTCCTCATAATGATAACATATAGCAAAACTCTTAAAATGGGCCAATTTTTACTAGTCCTTAGGATACCATTACTATTGGGCAGTTTGGTAAAGACTACAGGACTAGTGCCAATTTCTAACGCTGTTGGCATGGTGCTGACAAACCTAGAAACATAATTGGGGCGAACCGGGATTCCAACCCACAATCAAAGGTTTCTGGCGTGCCCAAGGGACATGGCGAATTGCTGTGCCTTGGACGAATGGGCCACCCGTGCCCCCTTGAGTATGAATGAAATGAAGGGTTCCTTGTAATATACATGATAAACCCATTCGTAAAGCTGAACATTTAAGGAGTGTCTAGATTCAACTAGGAACTACATTACTTCTGCTGGTTCAGAAACAGCAGATGTTTTTTGTCAGATAACATTGTTTAATTACTTTCATCAGTTTGCTCAAATGATATCATCAACTGGCTTTCAACCCCTGCAAGTCACAGAGCCTAACCACCAGATAACTGCACATAGCCTCCATCTCTGTACAGCAATATCTCCTAATCATAATCATGATAATGTTCCAATTAGTCTATTTCATTGATTGTTTTGATTTCAGTTTCCAACACATGAAACTCATCATGAAACAGTCTGCCACTAGGCCAAAGCCTGAGTCCAGTGAAAACATATGTGGTCTAGTAGGCTCAGCTAATAATAGTCCATATAATAACACTAAACTATAATGTAAAAATGATGCTGAGAGCCCTGTTAGAGCTTGTAGTCTTGACTGATGAAATTTGTGACTGATTATTTCCCAATCAAAATGCATCAGTTCCTTTTAACACATGAATATATGAATTGGTGGGGATATGCTTTTTTTTTTTTGTTTAATGCCGCTCTCAGCAATATTCCACCTATACGATGGCGGTCTGTAAATAATCAAGTCTGGACCAGACAATCCAGTGATTGACCATATAAGCATCGATCTTCGCAATTGGGATCGATGACATGCACCATCCAAGTCAGCGAGCCTGACCACCCGATCCTGTCAGTCGCCTCTTATGACAAGCATAGTCGCCTTTTACAGCAAGTATGTATTGCTGAAGACCTATTCTAACCCATTTGAGGGGATAACAAACTGCATAATATATATAATAAAGCATCACAATTCTGATAAAGGTTTCAAGGTCTATTGATCACGGGTCACACACTATTAAACAAAATGCCCAGTCAGCAATATTGAAGCAAATAACATCCAATCTGAACCCAGGGTAGAAACTAACAGTTATAGTCCACTAGTCCTTATAATGATAACATATAGAAAAACCCTTAACATTGGCCAATTTCTACTAGTCCTTATGATACCTTAATTATTGGACAGATTGACAAGGACTATAGGACTAGTGCCAATTTCTAACGCTGTTCAGAACCAAGCAAACTAGTGACTGAAAGCAGAGCAATGATTAACATTATTGATTAAATCACCGAGAAAGACCATATAGGATCCAGTTTCTTGTTGCTCTTACAAAACATCAGTGATCCATGGTACTGGGAACCTATTTGACCTTGAGTTCTTCAAAATATTCAGTGTAGGTAATAATGTTGTTGATTTTATCATCAGTATTTATCAATGTATTCAAGAAATTAAGAATAACATAAACATATTTTTACCCTTAGAATTTACAGTTAACTGATAATCTTAACAAAATTAACTGGGATATTTTTATAAACGTTTGAAAGGAAATTTAGAGCTTCAAAACAAACAAAACACTATGTTGGAATAAGGAGAGATTATGTGCCAAATATCATTACAACTCATCAATAGACATCTCGTTTCGAGTCATGATTGATTTGTTCATCTACCGACCACGCCTTCTCTGGTCACACCCCTTTTGTTTCCTGGTAAAAGAATGTCAAAACCTTACATCTTCCAAAAACAATTTCCAAAATACGATTTTACTGTGCTCATGGCATCTGTTGTTGTGTTTGCACACACAAATAAAAAAGACTCAATGATTGAGATTCACATCTTTTTTTCCAATGAAAACATAAAACATGAAACTCCGACCACACAGCAGGTCAACGCGGATATGAATGTGGAATACCGACGACCTACTTATTTTAAGTTAATGTCATTGTGAAAAATGAAATGGTCAAACCACTGCTAATTTTCTGGGGATAATTAATAATGATTATGATTATGTAATCATCGAACATAAACACCATCAACACGCGCACATGGCATGGCACCCGTCATGGGGTGATCCTTCCCAATCTAAATATCCTTTTCCGAACATGACAGCTTTTGATTTGAAACATTCTCGCGAAATTAGGCCTTTATTTTCTTATTTTACTTCATTTTACGTTCACCCACCTTGATTCGAGTGCCTGATCTAACATATCCATGTGGCTTTTTGGTGGATGTTTGAATTTGCCAGGAAATAAAGCAAGCTTGATCACGGGGCCAAACAACAGGTCATGTGAGATGGAAAAATGAACATGTGACAAAGATGGCGTATTTCAGTCCAGAGCGGTGCGCATATTAACATAATTTCCTACTCGTGTGATGCGGTCCTACTATAAGCTCTTTTTTATATCCTAAAATACCATGTACCTATACCTTTGTGACTGCCACAACTAAATCACATAATATCAGATCGTTTAGTTCTATGACACACTAATTTAATATCAAATCAAATACGGACTACTTTGCGTCTACTGAGAAAATGACGTCATCGGTACATCTGCCGAGCCAAACCAGTGACGCGCGTCTATGCAGTAAAACCTCTAATAAATTTAGTTGTGGAAAGAATATAATAGAAGTCGATCGAGACTAAGGAGTACAGTAAATTGCATACGTATACAACTATTCACAATATGTTTGCATTATGAAGTAGCCTAATAAACTTAACAGAGCATCGATTCGCATGAAATTAGGTCGAGTATTTTACGCCGCTTTTGGCAATAATATAACTCTATCAAAGTGGTGGACAAAATCTTCCCCAAGCTCCCCACAGCGATAGCCCGTTCACGGAGGTCTCTACACTATCGCTGTCACCAATCAAAGCTCCCCACCGTGATAGGTGCGTGGTTATAACCATGCCTGGAGTTGAACTCGCAACCGACGGACCGTTATGTTTACAAACAAGCGATGACTGCCGTGACGCCGAATACTCTTACCTTAACTAAATTATTTTGTTTGTTTGTCAGTTTGAATTTCTATTTCATTTCAACTATCATGTAATTGGTAAAGTAAGAATGTAAGGGGAAAGCTCAAAGTTGTTTGATTTTCCGTTCGTCTGCAAATTCGAACTATTTATCTAAAAAAATAAACAAATCTTTTCATGTTCTTAATCAAGGTGCTCACGTGAGTTGATGCACTTTGCGAAGTAAGTCCCGTTGTATTACAATACAGTGAGTGAGTGAGTTTTACGCCGCTTTTAGCAATATTCAAGCAATATCACGGCGGGGGACACCAGAAATGGGCTTCACACATTGTACCAATGTCGGGAATCGAACCCGGTCTTCGGCGTGACGAGCGAACGCTTTAACCACTAGGCTACCCGACCGCTCCGTATTACAATACAGATATTGATTATCTATCAAATCGTTTTCATTGTGCGACGCCACTTTGTTTGAAGCAACGATGTAAAATAATAAAACGTAAATTAATCATTTGTTAAACATACGTCATGTACAAATAAATATACCACAATAGATTTTTAAAAAATGCCCCATTCCAAACACACTGCTGAGAAAAGGGCGTCCCTAACGTACCCATTCGTGACCAACTCGTGTTATTCCGGGACAAGCCTTCTTGCAGATGACGGAAAGGGGCGAGTGGTGACGAATGTAACGTACCGTACTGAAATAAACTGGTTCCATGCACGGTTGGTCCGCGACGCAAGCTTAGCGCGATTTACTAGTTTAGGTAGACAGGAACCCAGTCTAGCTCTCAAATAGCATTGGAACGTAACGGGAACAATGAACAGAGGAAGGTGACGTAACTGTGACGTCATGCCAGTCACGCGAATAGTAACAACATTGCCTCTGCTAAATGCCATTATAATTCAACGGAATTCCTCTTAATATTCGTGTCCACCGAATTCACGATAAACCAAACAAACCTTTTCTTCTGAAAACAATAGAATGGGGTGTTTTCCTCACTGTCCTATCGGGTGCAGGCTAAAACGGCACCTCAGCAAAACGGCACCGATTTCTCTGGCGAAAACGGCACCGCATTGGGCGAAAACGGCTACTATGTGTCAGGCGAAAACGGCCCCTCTATTTTTTATATCGATTAGAACGATTTATGTGGTAATATATCTTCTATAGTCTATCTATAGTTGGGGTAGAGGCTAATTTCTAATGTAAACTTGTTTTAACATCTCATAATTATTCGTGTTTGCAAGTTACCATGTAAGTTTATTTTCATTTATTTGACCAGAGACCATATCTATTATATGGTCTCTGATTTGACCAAGGTAAAAAATCATATAAGGTGCCGTTTTCGCCAGGCAATAATAGCCGTTTTTGCTTGATGAGATCGAGGTGATGTTTTCGCCAATCGGTGCCGTTTTCGCCCGGTGACGTGGACCCGTGAAGATTCCGGGGTAGAATAGGTCTTCAGCAACCCATGCTTGCCGTAAAAGGCGACTATGCTTGTCGTAAAAGACGACTAACGGGATCAGGTGGTCAGGCTCGGTGACTTGGTTGATGCATGTCATCGATCCCAGTTGCGTGGATCGATGCTCATGATATCGATCACTGGTTTGTCTGGTCCAGACTCGATTATTTACAGACCGCCGTCATATAGGTGGAATATTGCTGGGTGCGGCGTTAAACAACAAACCAACCAAACAATTTTGCTGAGGTTTCAGTTATAACCCGTCCTGTCTTGTGAACATATTTCATTGATGATCGACAAAAGGGTATTTAAAAACAATACATGGTTGGAAAACAGGCTGGCGTGGTCTATAAATCTGTCACTAGAGGCCCTTTTCATGCAAGGGATCTTTATCTCCCCCTAAGCGTTATATTACCCCCCAGGGGCTGGGTCTTGCAGGCACCCTAACGCTGACTGGTGACTCACCTGACACTTCAATCCTCATATTTATGACGCGAGACTGCATAATTAGCCTACTTGAGAGATCCAATCAAGCTTTAAGTCGATGTCAATTCCGATTTAATTAAAATCGATACTTTTGACCTAATTGATTTAATAGAAAAAAAAGAACAACATATTATTTGTATTGCTTGTTGGTCTTTTCCGGGATTATATTTATTGCCAATTATTTTTTCATTTTCAAAGATAATCCATTTGAATACAATCCGGTGTGTTTGTACCGCGAGAATATCAAGTTCTGATGAAAATAACGAAAATTTATATTTGTTGACAGCAGGAAATAAAACACAAAACAATGTTAGTTTTTGAGTTCTTGGGTGGGAGGGGTTGGCAGTGAAATAGAATTCGTCAGTTGTATCGGAATTTCAGATTCTGTGGAGTGTCCGTATAACATACATGTACGTGTATTAAGTTGTAAATATATTACACCCTAAATGCGAAATCAAATAATTTCCTATTGTATTCTTTGTTTGAAAATGTTAAGTAATGCTAAGATTCAGGGCACATTCAAAGGAATATCCGCATAATTATTTTTTATCAGGTGAATATTTCTGAGCAATTTACTCACATTCAGCGTGGGCCAGAGGACTTATTAAATACTTTACGGTAAACGACAGCCAATCGGTATAAATCGGCGTGTACTCGGTTTGTTCCGGTACATTCGACTTCCGGTTTGCAAAGGAAACGCGTGAACGGAGAAGTGTTGACGAAAGTTTCAAGATGTTAGACTTTTTCACGATTTTCAGCAAGGGTGGGATTGTTTTGTGGTGTTTCCAGGGGACGTCTCAGTTTTTTACACCATCCGTCAACGCCTTGATAAAAAGTGTGATTTTACAGGTGAGTATTTGTTCACTTTCATGAAATCAGCTGTTATATTGCGTGGAACATATCACCATGCGCATCGTCTTTCAGAAGCCGTATGGCGACACTCTTATTCGTTTCAGAATTTATTAGGGAGGTTATTGAATTAAAGAAAAGATATAGTATTTTTGTGACAACTATTTTATCTGTTAATTATCCTCAGGATTTGTCAATTAGATTTTATTCCAGTGACGATTGATCAAGATGGTTCCCCACTTTGATAAAAACGTCCACAAATAACTACAGGGATATCCCGTATTATGACATCAGTCATTGGATCTGAAATGTAGTTATCTGGGCCGTTCCAGAAGAATCACCGCGTTCTTCAGACAGAATATGATTACCCCACAGCCCCATATGTTATATTTCGCATTCTTATGAACGCTACCAAGTAAAATAATATAACACAGAAGAAGTTATAGGTGTAAATTCGTACACATAGAAATGAGAAATTTTGTACCCCAAATTGAGAGTAATTTTGTCACCCTATGCAATTAACAATGAATTACGCGATATAACATATTCATTTAGATTTAGAACTAAACAACAAAATGTAAATGTTTAAGGGCGATATTTTATTTGAACAAGAACAACAGGAGACAGAGTTTTACGTAATATATGTCTTAGTCGATTGATATCAGTAAATTTTAATACATTTTAATCTATTTTATTTTTCTATTAGGTAAGAAATTACTAGTGTATATCTCTTTTAAAATAGTGTCTCATAAGCCTAGCTTAGTATGATAAATTTAATATGATGTATTCTTATTGTTTCATGCCATGTGACACTTTAATAAACTATTTCTGTCTGTCTGTTTATCTGTTGACTGAAGTTGATGTTTATGAAAACACTGTGACAATTACTTATTGGCTCCTTAAGTTGAGCTGTTGAGATGGAGATTAGATGATGATGATGATGATGTTTAAGAAAACACTGTGACAATTACTTATTGGCTCCTTAAGTTGAGCTGTTGAGATGGAGATTAGATGATGATGATGATGATGATGATGATGAGAGTTTTATGTTTTTATCTCATCAGCGTCTGTTTTGTCCTCTGTCCCTGAGATGGAAGGACACCTCTATAGGGACAACTCACTATAGCAAGAGAAATCACGATAAACATGGCTGTCTAAAAAGTATCTTTGGCAACCTATGATCCATCGATAATATTGTTTTATTTATGAAATAAATGAGTTGGAGCATGGTTTATTCTCCCTTCTGTGTTTAATTGTACGATAAACATCTTCCACTTGTTAATTATTTCTTATTTGACAAGCCTTTCAGAGTAGTGGAGTATCTTCTGTGGTAACCAAGTCGGTCTAATAATGTTTTTCACACACATACCAAAGATTTCAAATCTAATACAATGAATGGGCAAAATATGTTCTCTGTAATATTCAGAATTTGCTGCATCAAGCATACGGCACAAAACACAAATTAGATATTTGCAAGTTATTGAAAACTAAATCTAAGTGTGTAAATCTGTGTTTAACTTGTCTATTTTTGTCGGGGCACGGGTGGCCCAGTCGTCTAAGGCGCCGCGATTTGCTGTGCAGAGTTTCGTCCCTTTGACACGCCAGAAACCTATGATTGTAGGTTTGAATCCCGGTTAGAGGCGACTAACGGGATTGGGTTGTCAGGCTCGCTGACTTGGTTGATGCATGTCATCGATCCCAATTGCGTGGATCAACAATCATGATATTAATCACTGGATTGTCTGGTCCAGACTCGATTATTTACAGACCGCCGTCATATCGCTGGAATATTGCTTAGTGCGGCGTGAAACAACAAACCAACCAACAACCAGGTGTATATGAATCTGAGTTAAGGTACTGAAGCATACCCTGACGAAGAAACACAGTGATGTTTTCATGGTTATATCGTGTCATGGTATCCCAACTGTGGCGGTCAATGTTCGTGAATTCAATCACTGTATTGTCTGGTCCAGACTCGATTATTTTACAGACCGCTGTCATATAGTTTGAAAATTGCTAGGTGCTGTGTTCAACAACAAACAAAAGACAACTTTATTACTGGAATGACAAAGATTTGTATTGTTTAATACCTAACTTGTGTTGTGTGTTTCAGCAACGAAGTGGAAGCAATCAATTCAACCATGATCAACTGACTCTGAAGTATAAACTGGACAATGAGTTTGAACTGGTGTTTGTGGTGAGCTGTCTACAATGTTGATACGTATACGTTGACCAGTCGGACTGCATGTCGGGGCAGTCGTCTAAGGCGCTGCAATTCGCTGTGCAGAGTTGCGTCCCTTGGGCACGCCAGAAACCCATGATTGTGGGTTCGAATCCCCGTTTGCCCCGATTATGTTTCTAGGTTTGTCAGCACCATACCCGTGCTCGTGGGTTTTCATCGAAGTGGTAAACGTCTGAGACCTGCATCACTTCGGGGTCCCTCCCACATTAAGCTGACACGCCGTGATATAACTGGAATACTGTTAAAAGCAGCGTTAAACCCAACTCCTCACTCGGACTGCATGTAATTACAGGTATACTTAGGGTTAGAATGTAACACTAGCCAGGGCTAGTACAAATTTCTCAGTTTACATTAACAGTTTTCATTAACCTTATAAGGGGCATTTTATCTTAACATGGGCAAGTAAAGCTTTTGAGTTTAGTCGTAACCCTGTACACTGGTATACTGCAATGCATGTTTGAAACTATACATGTTGCAATGTGTTTACTTTGTATCGATATATTGTGTAAAAGATGTAAAACAAGTTTTGTTATTTGTTGCGTGTTTCATAAAATCTACACGGAAAGTCTTTCCCAAATGACATTTTCCTTTGAAATTGGTTGACAAAACAGCAACACTTGAAAGTGATGTTTCTCTCACATTGTTATCTCCCCTGTATCCATGACAACAAAATGGAGACAACTGACCATGCTGACTTTGACTTTGTAGTATTTACTACAGTAGGTAGATGATAGTATCTGCATGCACAATCACTGTCAAACACTCTAGCTCCGAATATATCGTAATACACTGCAATACAATACTTTTGCCTATACACAGCCCTATTGACCAGGGGGCGGTCGGATAGCCTAGTGGTTAAAGCGTTCGCTCGTCACGGCGAAGACCCGGGTTTGATTCCCAACATGGGTACAATGTGTGAAGTCCATTTCTGGTGTCCCCCGCCGTGATATTGCTGGAATATTGCTAAAAGCGGCGTAAAACCATACTAACTCACCCTATTGACCAGGACCGCCTCCGTGGTCTAGTGGTAGAGGGTCCGCCCGAAGAGCGGAAGGTCCGGGGTTTGATCCCCGGCCGTGGGATACCAAAAGACGTTAAAAGATGGTACTTGTTGTTACCCTATCTGGCCCTTGGCTCAACTGCTCACTCACTCACATTGATTCTTTCCGCCCTGCTTCAAAACCGCTCACTCACTCACTCACATTGATTCTTCCCGCCCTGCTCTCTCAACCGCTCGCTCACTCACATTGATTCTTCCTCCCTACTCACTCACTTACTCACTCACTCACTCACTCTGATTCCCTCCCTGCTCCCCAGGTGGCGTACCAGAAGATCCTGCAGCTTTCCTACATTGACAAGTTCCTGGATGACATTCAGTTGGAGTTCCGCAACAAGTACAAGGACGAACTGCTGCAGGGCAACGTGTCCCACAGCTACAACTTCTCCGACGAGTTTAACCTCATCCTCAGACACAAGGAGCAGGAGAGCAAGGCGAAAGCTCTCAAACCACGGTTCGTTCTTGAAGGCTTTATGGAAATTAGTACGTCAATAAAGACTCAGTATCCATTGTGCTGACTGATTTGGCCTGTAAATAATTGGTTCTTAAGTAAAGAATTGGTGCTCCTACTACTGGGGCGAGAAAGCTTCCCCAGGGATCATATTGCCAATCACTGGATTGTCTGGTCCAGACTTGGTTGTTTACATGCCGTCATATGTCTGAGTGAGCATAGTGAGTTGTTAGACAACAAACAACAATTATGTTGGTTATGTCAAATGTTACGAACGCGGACATCAGGGTTAGAAACTAACAGTTTTCGTCCACTAGTCCTTATAATGATAACATATAGCAAAACCCTTAAAAAGGGCAAATTTCTACTAGTCCTTAGGATACCTTTACCATTGGGCAGTTTGGTAAGGACTACAGGACTAGTGCCAATTTCTAATGCTGGGACATCCGTCCTACACACTGCAATGCTTATACATGTATAGACTCTTAAAGCCAACTCATTAGGTTGGATTTGTTTGAGTAGCTTCTCATACAAGATTGCTTGCTACACGTTTTGAACTGTTGTATACTTGATCCACATTGAGCTGTCTTCTCTGTCCACAGGGAAATGAGGACCTTTGAAAAGTCTGACAAATCTAAGAAGACTGTGGCATCAATGATTGAGAACAAGAAGGATGAGAAGAAGCCTGCCAAGGGGAAGGAGAACAAGCCAGTCAAAGGTAACCCACCCTGGTTACTTGGGCAATGAGCAGAACGCTCGGGTTGTTCACTGATCGTGAAGTTGTTCTCTTAAGTTGAAACCTGAGGTTGTGCACTGAGGTTGTGCTCTGATGTTGTTCAATGAGGCTGTGCTCTGAGGCTGTTCACTGAAGTTGTTCACTGAAGTTGTTCACTGAGGTTGTGCACTGAGGTTGTGCACTGAGGTTGTTCAATGAGGCTGTGCTCTGAGGCTGTTCACTGAAGTTGTTCACTGAAGTTGTTCACTGAGGTTGTGCACTGAGGTTGTTCAATGAGGCTGTGCTCTGAGACTGTTCACTGAAGTTGTTCACTGAGGTTGTGCACTGAAGTTGTTCACTGAGGTTGTGCACTGAAGTTCACTGAGGTTGTTCACTGAGGTTGTGCAGTGAAGTTGTTCACTGAAGTTGTTCACTGAGGTTGTGCACTGAAGTTGTTCACTGAAGTTGTTCACTGAGGTTGTGCACTGAAGTTGTTCACTGAAGTTCACTGAGGTTGTGCTCTGAGGTTGTTCACTGAAGTTGTTTACTGAGGTTGTGCATTGAAGTTGTTTGCTGAGGTTGTTTTCTGAGGTTGTTCACTGAGGTTGTGCTCTGAGGTTGTTCACTGAAGTTGTTCACTGAGGTTGTTCACTGAGGTTGTTCACTGAAGTTGTTCACTGAGGTTGTGCACTGAAGTTGTTCACTGAGGTTGTGCAGTGAGGTTGTTCACTGAAGTTGTTCACTGAGGTTGTGCACTGAGGTTGTGCTCTGAGGTTGTGCTCTGAGGTTGTGCACTGAGGTTGTGCTCTGAGGTTGTTCACTGAAGTTGTGCACTGAGGTTCTGGCAGAGTAGACGAATGATGACGAAGGTTAAATTACTTGCAGGGGGAATAGTATCAGCCTGAATTACCATCTGATAGAGCGGATAGAATGCCCATATTATTATTAATGATAATTGTGAAATTGAATTGATGAGAATCACCCTATCTGTCCTGGATTACTGAATTGCTTCCAAGCTCCAGGAGCTCTTGAGATGTCAGAATATAAATGAGAAGGTAGTGATGAGTCAATGCTATAACAATTAGTGTATGAATCTATGTAGTGGTTGCAGCTTATACCTACAGAAATACACCGTGGTGATGAGGGAGGTGGTGAGTTCGGTTAAGATCCGACCATTACGAAGCGTGCTTGAATGAAACCATGTGTTGTGATCTAGACAAAGGAATTGCTGACGGCTGACTGCGCATGCGCTATGGCATAATTAAGTTTGGCATGTGAGAGAAACGGAATACGATTGTGAATTACTCAAGTTTTCTAAGCCGAATTAACTCCAAATAAACACCAATTGGACATGTTGGAAATACCTGATCACTAAGAGTCCACATATGCATTGCACAGGTCAGCCTGTTAAAATTAATATTCATAATGGACAAAGTTTTCATAGAAAATTATCGTATGGTATGGTGCATGTAATGAATAACATTCGATGGCACGACATAACCATTGCTATTGCCATTATAAACTCAACTCAATACCTTAGTAATAATCTGTTTCTATGGTTAAAGTCAAGGCTAAGGCTCAGCCCGCCCCAGAGCCTGTTGTGGAGGTAGCACCGCCCGAGGCTCAGAAACTCACCAATGGAGAAGTTGATGAGGAAACTTTGAGGAGGAACAGGGAGAAACTCTTCAACCGAGGCAAGAAGAAGACGATTGTTGAGAGGTGAGTGAGGACAGTGTCTTGTTCTTTGGTGTGGAGATTCAGGGTTCAGGGATTCGAGTTGGTTCCTTGAAATCCATGCTTGTGAGAGGTGAATGGATAGAGTGGTCAGGCTCAGGGACTTGGTGAGTGAGTTGGGGTTAACGCCGCTTTTATCAGTATTCCAGTTATATCACGGCGTGTCAGCTTAATGTGGGAGGAAAGCCCGAAGTGATGCAGGTCTCAGACGTTTACTACTTCGGTGAAACCCACGAGCACGGGTATGGTGCTGACAAACCTAGAAACATAATCAGGGCGAACCGGGATTCGATCCCATTTGCGTAGGTCGATGCTCATGATGTCAATCATTAGATTGTCTAGTCCAGTCTCAAAACAACAAACAAACAAACAAAAACAAATAAAGTGAAATGGGGTTTAACATCACGTACAAGGTTATTACCTTTATGTAGTGCTGTGTGCGGACCTGGGTTGGTGGGTAGGTATTGGGTGCTTGTACTAGTCCAGACTATTGCTGGTTTTGTAGTGCTAGCCAACTGAGATAACATGCCACTGTTTACCATGGATCCCTCCCTCAGACAGAGTATACTCTGTCGAGGCCAGTCAGGGTATCAGAAAGTGCCATCTATTGGGTGTGACGGGGATCGATCCACCAACCTTTCACTCTCTGGGCAGGTGCTCTATCCATTAGACCACAGAGGCAGTCAATATGACCCAAAACTGGAGACTTTGTTTTTATAATTATAAAATAAAATTATTTATTCCAGTACAGAAAAGTTGTCCGCGAGACATTATTTTAGAGCGATATTTTAGGTGATATTTTGATAAGAGGTTTATGTGATGTGCAGCGCCAGCAAGAGTCCCGAATCGCAGAAGAAGAAGGGCAAGGCTAAGCGTGTGTGGGATAACGCCGGGACGTCCCGCGACATCGACTCCCTCAACTTCAGCACTGCAGGAGGCAAGGAGGAGGAGATGAATGGGGAGACTTACACTACAGAGGCAGAGGTGAGTCAGGAGGCATCTGCTCCTTAATATGTCACATAGAAGTGAAATCCAAAATCTTTCGATAATACCTTCAAGGCAATTTATAATATACACCCCTTCCATGCTGCTGTTTTCTGAAAAATAAGTCCTTTATACAGACTGCTGTCATGTAGCTGGAATATTGTTAAGTGTCGCATTTAACAACAAACAAAAAATAATGAAAATTTTTCTGTCACAAAACAAATAATGACCATTATTTGACCATTAAAAAGACTATTTAACATTGTGTCGGGTCATGAATTCTGTTTCGAAAATCATCTTTGCATTCCTGTTGGACAGAGAAGCCAAGTGGGTCAGCTGGCTGGACAGTTGAGGGATATCGAGCCGGAGAGTAGCGAGGAAGAGGAGGAAGAAGACGATGATGATGAAGAGGAGGAGGAGGAGGAGGAAGTAACTCAGACTGCATCCAAGAGGTGAGGCTCTCTCATCGGTCATGACCATGGGTGGCTTTTAACAGGGTTCGAAATTAACACAAATCCCCTAGACCAAGACTAGTAAAATTCAGGCAGTACTGGCGACATTTGTCCTCATGGACTGCGTCTTTTGTAGATGGCAACTCTGTAGCCATGGTAGCTCTGTTTGTGGACTGGTGATAATATCAATTAATTTCTAACCTTGGCCTAGTTGTGTCATGCGACATTCTGAATTGCATCCCTTGGCTAAGCCAGGATCCGCTGACCTTGGCTTAAATCCCAGAGTTTCCCTTGTAACAGTCCTTGGTTTGTCAGCACCACTTTGTTCTTGTGGGTTTCAGCAAACATTAACAACCTTCGTCACTTCGGCTGTTCCTCTGTCTCTTAGCTGTCATGTTATCAGATAATTCTGGCATGTAGACTTTTACACGCTGCCTTATCAGAAACTGGCTATTAACAGAGGAAATGCAGTTGTCACAAGGGGACCTCGTGCACATTGGTAAAAAATCTATTTAACGATAAGGCTCCACAATGTGCAGTGAAGAGTTGCATCCCTTGGGCGCACCAGAAACCTATGATCGTGGGTTCGAATCTCTATGGGGCGATGAGTAGCCTAGTGGTTAAAGCATGCGCTCATTCCAAAGGCCTCGGTTCGATTCCCCACACGGTTACAAAACTACAATGTGTGAAGCCCATTTCTGGTGTCCCCCGTCTGGTGTCTGGGTTTCACCAAAGTGGTAAACTCATTGACTCTATTTTGGGGCTCTTTGATATGATACCTCTGAAGATCCAAGGTAGAATAGGTCTTCAGCAGCCCATGCTTGCCGTTAAAGGCGACTATGCTTGTCGTAAGAGGCGACTAGGGGTCAGACTCTCTGACTTGGTTGATGCATGGTATTGTATTCCAATTGCGTGGATCGATGGTCATGATGTCAATGACTGGATTGTCTGGTCCAGACTCGATTATTTGCAGACCGTCGTCATACAGCTGGAATATGGCTGAGTGCAGCGTTAAACAACAAACAAACAAAGAAACAAAACAAACATTTCAGAAAAGGTACTCATGTAATACAACAAGAGTATTATCACACACCTTTTGAGTTCCACAAGTCTTTGCTTAACTCACACCTTGATTTTAGTGTCGTTTAGAGTTGATTGTGTGCACGTTTAGAGTTGATATGACAAGAGCTAGGTGACAGGCTAACATGTAAGACCTGTGTTCACTTCTCCTCCAGTCAGACCAAGTCAAGCGGCTACAGCATGTTTGGCATGTTCAAGAACCTTGTGGGTTCCAAAACACTGACAAAAGAAGATGCCAAGTCTGCCCTGGAGAAGATGAAGGATCATTTGATAGGTGAGTCGGCCATCTGTTGCCATGGTAACGACTGTCATGGGTGCAGGGAGGGTGATCAGGTAGGGCAATGAAAACATTGCTTCACCCCATCAACAATCTCACTGATTTCGTATGATCCCCCGAAATGCATTTTCGTGGGCGGTAGGGGACGGGGGGTGGTGAGTCTTGAGGGAGGGGGTCTTTAAAATGGGCACTGTCTGTCCGTCCATCCGTTAGTGCAAGATGTCATTTCTGGAGCAGATCTTGGAAAACGTGCAAAATTTCATCACCAAACTGGGAAGATCTGGGGTAGAATTGGTCTTCAGCAACCCATGTCGTAAGAGGCGACCGGGGATCAGGAGGTCAGGCTCGCTGACTTGGTTGATGCATTTCATTGTATCCCAATGGCGTGGATCTATGCTCATGATGTCAATCACTGGATTGTCAGGTCCAGACTCGATTATTTTCAGACCACCACCATATAGCTGGAATATCGCTGAGTGGGGCGTTAAATTACAAACAAATCATAAGAAGTCGATTGATATTTCAGGGAAGAATGTAGCCGCAGATATTGCTGTCAAGCTGTGTGAGGATGTGGCGGCCAAACTGGAGGGGAAAGTGCTGGGAACTTTCGAAGGTGAGAAAGAGAGGATTGTGAGGATTCTGTCAACATGGTCATGAGAAGGACAGGTGTTCTATACTTTGTCATGGTACTTGTTGTTACCCTGCCTGGTGCTCAGCATTAAGAGCATAAATCAAGGACTGGTCGGCTCGGAGTCAGTATACTGTGTCTGAGTGGGGTATTCATGGTAAACTGTGGCACATTATCTTAGTGGGTTAGCACTAAATGGGAATAAAACTAGGACTGGTCGGTTTGGAGTCAGTATACTGTGTCCGAGTGGGTATCCATGTTAAACTGCGGCGTGGTATCTCAGTGGGCCTGCACTATATGGGAATAAAACAAGGACTGGTCGGCTCGGAGTCAGTATACTGTGTCCGAGTGGGTATCCATGTTGAACTGCGGCAGGGTATCTCAGTGGGCCTGTACTATAGGGGATAGAGCAAGGACTGGTCGGCTCGGAGTCAGTATATTCATTACTGTGTCTGAGTGGGGTATCCATGTTAAACTGCGGCATGGTATCTCAGTGGGCTGCACTATACAGGGATAGAACAAGGACTGGTCGGCTCGGAGTCAGTATACTGTGTCTGAGTGGGGTAGTCATGTTAAACTGCGGCATGGTATCTCAGTGGGCTAGCACTATGACACCAACATAATTCTTGACTAGTACAAGCAGCCACACACATGTCGCTAGTATATCAATGCAATGGTCCTGAAAGTTGTGTCATACCCCATTTCACTCATCCCTGGGGTTCATATGTGTCACAGGGGGCACGGGTGGCCCAGTCGTCGCGAATCGCTGTGCAGAGTTGCGTCCCTTAGGCACGCCAGAAACCTATGATTGTGGGTTCGAATCCCGGTTCGCCCTGATTATGTTTCTAGGTTTGTCAGCACCATACCCGTGCTCGTGGGTTTCACCGAAGTGGTAAACGTCTTTGACCTGCATCGCTTCGGGCTTTCCTCCCACATTAAGCTGGAACGCCGTGATATAACTTGAATATTCCTAAAAGCGGTGTTAAACCCAACTCACTCACTTTCACTCATATGTGTCACAACATGGGTAGAATGTGTGAAGCCCATGTCTGGTATCCCCTGCCGGGATATTGCTGGATGTTGCTAAAAGCTGCATAAAACCAGACTCATTCACTCTCTCATGTGTGTCATGTTCTTCATTATTCCAGGTGTGAACTCCACTGTGAAGAATGCCCTCCAGGAATCGTGTGTGCAGATCCTGTCACCACGGCGACGAGTAGACATGCTCCGTGATGCCATGGAGTGCAAACAGAAGAAGCGGCCTTACTGCATCACCTTCTGTGGTGTGAATGGAGTCGGCAAGTCCACTAATCTGGCCAAGGTAGGTCTTGGTCAACCGGCAGCAGGACAGTTAGTCACTGACACTGAAGAGAAGTCACAGAGCACTTGCTGCACTATACAAATGCATAAATTATTATTATTATTATTATTATTATTATTATTATTATTATACAAATGCATAAATTATTATTGTTTAAAAATTATTTAATGGAGAATTAAAACAGGCTATATTAGGAAGGGTAGAAACTATTTTTCATATCCAACTGGTCCTCATATCATTTCAGACTATAGACCTGTGCAGATCCGGGGTAGAATAGGTCTTCAGCAACCCATCCTTGCCGTGAAAGGCTACTATGCTTGTCGTAAAAGGCGACTAACAGGATCGGGTGGTCAGGCTCGCTGACTTGGTTGATACATGTCATCAATCCCAATTGTGTGGATCGATGCTCATGTTGTCAATCACTGGATTGTCTGGTCCAGACTCGATTATTTTACAGACCGCCATCATATAGCTGGAATATTGCTGAGTGCGGCGTTAAACAACAAACAAAGAAACAAAGAAACAAAACAAACATTTCAGACCAGGTATACATGTAACACAACAAGAGTATTATCACCACCTTTTGAGTTCCACAAGTCTGTGATTAACTCACACCTAGATTTGTTTAGAGTTGATTGTGTGCATGTTTAGAGTTGATTGTGTGCATGTTTAGAGTTGATTGTGTGCATGTTTAGAGTTGATTGTGTGCATGTTTGTTTAGAGTTGATTGTGTGCATGTTTGTTTTTTACAGTTGATTGTGTGCATGTTTAGAGTTGATTGTGTGCATGTTTAGAGTTGATTGTGTGCATGTCTCAATCTCAAAATCAATTTTGTTGGTAGGTGTGTTTCTGGCTGGTAGAGAATGGATTCCGAGTGTTGATTGCCGCCTGTGACACGTTCCGAGCCGGAGCCGTGGAGCAACTCCGCACTCACACACGGAAACTGAACGCTCTCCATCCCGCGGAGAGGCACAGCGGCCAGCAGATGGTGCAGCTGTACGAAAAGGGATACGGCAAAGACGCGGCTGGTATTGCGATGGAGGCCATCAACCACGGTAAGGGAATACTTCACGGTACACAGTACAGGATAAATGTGGTCATAGGAGGCTTAAAAAAATATAAGAATTGGTTCTCAGGCGATGACTTTTGAAAATATATTGTGGTCGGGCCATGTATTTTTTTGTTTTGTTTTTGGCTTGCTCAAATTACTATGTAAACAAATAAACATTTGTTTACCTTCAACCTGGGAAAGGGCCTCCCTACATAAACAAGCATACAAACTCCTGTTGCCACCATGACACTAGTGCGCAATAAAGCAGTGTGCATGTAAAGGGAAGTAACTGCATGCTGTATTGGATCGCATTGATTTCAAGTATTAAGATATTAATTAATTTTTTTAATGAAAATAAAAACGAAAACGAGCAGCAGACTTTATGATGATGCAGGCGGTGCCTGAGAACCAAGACTATTATTTTTTATTTGCACCACATTTTAGCCATGTCTTCCCGGAGAGTGGAAGGTTGGTGATTCGATCCCTGGCCATGTCATAACTAAACATGTTAAAAGTAGTACTTTTTGTTACCCTGACTGGCGTTTGGTATTCAGGTGATATAACAAGAACTGGTCAGCTGGGAGTCGGTATACTATGTTTGAGGGGGTATGCATGCTAAATTTTGCCATGGTGTCCCAGTGGGCTAACACTACAAAACACAGCACACAAATATTGTGTATGATTGTGTGTCTTTGATAACAACCTAAATCTATAATGTTATTGTTTGCTTATTTTTGTATATTTGAAGATTTGACTTTTAATACATGTGCAATAGATTGACTTTATATATGTGTACAAGGCCACAGTATAGTGATTACCGTATTTGATGTAATAAGCGCCCAGGGAGTTCTCAAAATTAGAAATAGGGGGCTCTTATTGGAATATTATTTTGGTGGAAAAAACAGAGTTGAAAGATAAATTTCGTGGTTTAGGCTTACGGCCTGAACTGTTTAAATACGACAGATATATTTTTCCAGAATTTAATTGCCCATAATTAAGGATGCATATAACACACAAGTGCGTATTATACACGAATAAATAAGTCTTGTGTACATTGATCAATCAGAAGGATTGCTAATTGGGATTGTTCACTAGCCAATATATTAGCAAATATCGCCGTGGGCACTTATTAGAGCGGGTCGCTTATTACGTCGAATACGGTATATGATTTTCGGTACAAATATTGTGTATGATTGTGTGTCTTTGATAACAACCTTAATCTATAATGTTATTGTTTGCTTATTTTTGTATGTTTGAAGATTTGACTTTTAATACATGTGCAATAGATTGACTTAATATATGTTTACAAGGCCACAGTATAGTGATTATATGATTTTCAAGCATACCCTGAATTGTTCAGCTGTTGAAGCCATCTGTTGAGTGGTCACTGTTTGTGTGGGTTGCAGCGCGTGACAGCCGCATCGATGTGGTGCTGGTGGACACTGCAGGCAGAATGCAGGACAATGAGCCTCTCATGAGGGCTCTAGCAAAGGTGAGACCTGGGTGAATATCACCAGCAGAGCTGTTCTAAGCTGCTCTTCTTTCATGGACACGTGGGGGACACTGGTGGCCCAGTCGTCTAAGGCACCGCGATTCGCTGTGCAGAGTTGTGTCCCTTGGGCACACCAGAAACCTATGATTGTGGGTTCGAATCCCAATTCGCCTTGTTTATGTTTCTAGGTTTGTCAGTACCATACCCGTGCTCGTGGGTTTCACCGAAGTGGTAAACGTCTGAGACCTGCATCACTTCGGGCTTTCCTCCCACATTAAGCTGACACGCCGCTATATAACTGGAATACTGTTCAAAGCGGCGTTAAACCCAACTCACTCATGGACACGTGACCGCCTCCGTGGTCTAGTGGTAGAGCTTCCGCCCGGAGAGCGGAAGATCCGGGGTTTGATTCCCATCCGTGTCATACCAAAAGACGTTAAAAGATGTAGTTACCCTGTCTGTAGCTCGGCATTAAGGGGTTAAAACAAGGACTGGTCGGCTCGGAGTCAGCATACTGTGTCTGAGTGGGGTATTCATGTTAAACTGCAGCATGGTATCTCTGTGGGTTAGCACTATGAAATCGGCATTAGTCCACGACGTCACTATGTAAGTTCCATAATCTTGGATGTGATGTTAAACACCATTTCACCTCACGGACATATGGACCATGCATTACTTCTGTGTCTATATATGGTTCCTTAATATGTATAAAGATATTAAAAGCAGTATCTGTTGCTATACACCCTGGAATAATCATTTAATAAATGAAAAAAAATGGAGCTGGAAAACTTTTAAACCATCACAAGGGAAGCTGTTTGTCACCAACATGGTCTGCTACTATTGTTCTTTGGTGCTGTATTTGTTGTGCACAGTTGTCTCCCTTTACTATGCCAGGATCCCAGCTGATGAAAGGTTCAGATTGCAGATTGGCCCTCATTTCCTCCCAAGCTTACATAGCTGAAATATTGTTCAAAGTGGCATTAGACCTGTGAAGATCCAGGTAGAGAATAGATGACTATGCTTGTCGTAAGAGGCGACCAACGGGATCGGGTGGTCAGGCTCGCTGACTTGGTTGATGCATGTCATCCTTTCCCAAATGCGTCGATCTATGCTCATGATGTCAATCACAGGATTGTCTGGTCCAGACTATTATTTACAGACCGCCATCGTATAGCTGTAATATTGCTGAGTGCGGCTTTAAACAACAAACAAACAAATCGGTATTAATATAAGTCACTCACATTAGGAACGATCTGAGAAAGTATACGTCACCAAAGAATATATGTATACAATGCAACAGAAGGAAAGACGACTGTATTGTACTGTCTGTCCTGTTTCAGCTAATCAAAGTGAACCAGCCGGACCTGGTTCTGTTCGTTGGCGAGGCCCTGGTTGGGAACGAGGCTGTAGATCAGCTGACTAAGTTCAACCAGGCTCTGGCCGATCACTCTAACATGACCAACCCAAGGCTCATCGATGGTATCATCCTCACTAAGTTTGATACCATTGATGATAAGGTAAGATCTACTTTCCTGGGTCAGTTTCATTCATAGACTGCAGTCGTGTAAGTACCTGTGAAGATATCGTTAGAATTGTTTTTAAGCAACCCATGCTTGTCATAAGAGGTGCCTAACGGGATCGGGTGGTCAAGTCACTGACTTGGTTGATGCATGTCATCGTATCCTGATTGAATAGATCAATGCTCATGACATCAATCACTGGATTGTATGATCCAGGCTTGATTATTTACAGATTGCCGTCATATAGCTGGAATAGTGCTGAGTGAGGCATTAAACAACAAACGAAGGTCATTATTTTGCTATGCAGGATGCCCCTGTTGTGGATGAGCATGTGAACGCTGTGGGCATGAATACCAAATACAGGGTTTATATTCTGAGCTCGTGGGGGTCTAAGGGTATGGAATTGCTTTTACTGATTAGACAATTTGGTAATCATTACTCATTTTGAATTTCCAGATTGATCGATGTGCCATTTTTTCTCGCAACTTTTATCTTTTCAACTTGCAGGTTGGTGCTGCAATATCCATGACCTATACGACTGGTCAGCCTATTGTATTCGTGGGCACGGGTCAAACTTACACTGACCTTCGCAACCTCAACGCCAAGGCCGTAGTTCACGCTCTCCTCAAGTAACAACGTCATGCTGCACAGTCTTACTCTAATGTTAAAGGTTTTCATTTTTGTTGCTTCTGAAGCAGGCTACATTGTAAGTTGCATGTGTATTGATTGTTTTATGTTCTTGTTGAAGCATAAACACGTTAGATGATAGTGGATGCAGGTTTATCATGTGAGAACACTGAGTACAATGGAGGCAGGTGTTCGTACTTTTATAATTGGTGTAAAGATAGACAAGATGAGATTTGTTGTAAAAAATTAGTAATACCGTATTCGACGTAATAAGCGTCCAGGGCGCTCTCAAAATTAGAAATAGTGGGCTCTTATTAGAAAATTATTTTGGTGAAAAAACAGTTGAAAGATAAATTTCGTGGTTTATGCTGACAGCCTGAATTGTTTATATACGACAGATATATTTTTCAAGAATTTAATTGCCCATAATTTAGGGTGCATATTACACACGAGTGCGTATTATACACGAATAAATAGGTCTTGTGTACATGATCAATCGGAAGGGGTGCTAATTGGGATTGTTCGCTAGCCAATATATTAGCAAATATTGCTGTGGGCGCTTATTAGAGCGGGCACTTATTACGTTGAATACGGTAAGTTTAACAGCTTTATAGGCTAACTGACTTTCTAGGGCTTGAGTGGATAGATGGGAGATTTTTATCAGTGATGTTTTCAGCAGCATTGTTGGTCCTGTTGAAGTCCGCAATTTGCTGTGCAGAGTTGTGCCCCTTAGGTGTGCCAGAAACCTATGATCTTGGGTTCAAATATCAGATACTCCCTGTTTCTGGGGTTTTCAGAACCACATTTGCGCTAAGACCTGCATCACTTTGGGCGTTATTCGAACATTAAGCTAATGTGATGTAACTGAAATACAGACTCATCAGCCCTATGAATATAACAGAGTTAAAGGCTTCCAATTTCTCTGTGTCCAAAAATTGTTATGAAAAATTATTTCAAGAAGACTTTGGTTGTTTTAATATGTGGCAGATATTAGTTTGTATTATTATATGTTTGTCTTTTAATTACATCTTGACTTGGGGTCAGTATGAGTTAATTGAAGAGGTTTGATATTTTTTTCCTTTTTAACTTGCATGTAACATGTTGCTGTAAGTGTCATAGAATTCCCTATCATCATAGCACACGGTATTATAAATAGGAAAGAGAGCATCCCTGTACATTCCATCAGTATTCTGAACATGGCACATAGCCAGTGATTCTAAATTCAAACCCTAAATCATTTCTTGAAGTCACAGCTTAATCAGAAACAGACTGACTGCAAGTGGGGCGGTCGGGTAGCCTAGTGGTTAAAGCGTTTGCTCGTCACGCCGAAGAGCCGGGTTCGATTCCTGACATGGGTACAATGTGTGAAGCCCATTTCTGGTGTCCCCTGCCGTGATATTGCAGGAATATTGCTAAAAACGGCGTAAAACCATACTCACTCACTCACTGACTGCAAGTAGTTAGTACTTGACTCGATCATCAACCAAGTCGAGGAGCAACTAATATAATCAAGGATTTATCCTGAGGCCAATGGTCAACCCCAATTCTGCAGCAAATTGTCAGTTACAATTCCTAAATTGGAATTATTAATGTTCAAATTCCTGTCATAGTTATAACTCATCCTTTGTCTCAGCAGAGACGATTGTTTTTAACTGATAAAGGACCAATCGAGAGAAAGAAGCTCTAATAACTGGTTGCCCATTATTGTAATGAATGAAATGTTAAAATGCCTTTGCTATTATAAAAAACAAAAAATCAATAAAAGTCTTGCAATTTGAAAGATAAATATTTGCAAATTTGCCCGCTTGGGGTATTACCGTATTCGACGTAATAAGCGCCCAGGGCGCTCTCAAAATTAGAAATAAGATGCTCTTATTAGAATATTATTTTGGTGAAAAAAAAAGTTGAAAAGAGAATTTTGAGTTGAAAGATAACTTTTGTGGTTTACGCTGACAGCCTGAAATGTTTATATTCCACCGATGTACTTTTCCAGAATTTAATTGCCCATAATTAAGGGTGCATAAATAAGTCTTGTGTACATTGATCAATCGGAAAGGGTGCTAATTGGGAATGTTCATTAGCCAATATACGAGCAAATCTCGCCGTGGGCGCTTATTAGAGAGGGGCGCTTATTACGTCGAATACGGTATCTGTTTTTTTATTCTAAATATCATCCCTGATAATACAAACATGTTAAGCAGACACATATTTTGTTGTAGTATACACATTAGGGCTGGTACGAGTCCAGATTTACTACCCGGGTACCCACCCACCTATTACCCGACCCTACCCGGGTACCCGCTGTAGGTCTCAAGAGATAAGTACAATATGTCTGATTTGGTATAGTTTGACCATAGCCCTGGACAAAATGTATTTAGATACACGTATAAAACGATCTGGTCATGCATACACTGAAGTTTTATCTTTATTCAAACATGTAAACGTCTGGGTGCATAGTCAGAAAGAAATGCCAACATTAGTGACTTGTGGTGTAACAATATAGTTCAAGATCATTTTTGTCGTTAAACGATATATCACATGACCAACCACGGGTCTGGGTAGTTCTGTGGGTACCCGGGTCCTTCTCAGTACCCACCTGACCCGAGTACCCGAGTTATCTTTCCCAACCTTAATACACATGTATGTCCATTGTTAGCGGCGCCGTTAATGTACAAGAGTAATGCAGAACACTTGTGTTACTCATATAGAATAATAAACGAGCTCCCGTGTAATACCAATTTTATGAAACGAGTGAATAGTTGTGGTATCTGACAAGCGAAAGCGAGTCAGATACCACAACTATTCACGAGTTTCATAACATTGGTTTTACACGGGAGCAAGTTTAGTATTTTATTTATTACTTGCCATTTATAACGTTTTTAGAATTATACTGTTGAGTATGAATAGGTTGACACCTTCACGATCCACGGCATAGTCCAATTGAGTTTAACAGAATAATACTTCAAACACGTCAAAAGTTGAAGCGTATGAATTTAATTCCATACAACGATCCACCTTTAGAATTCACAAAATTATCGTAGGGCTAAGACTATCGCAACTCACATTCTTTAACTAAGACTAACGACTGTCGTTGCGCTACAATACGATCGCCTTGTGGAGCGGGCCTTACACCTCAATGTTTACAATAACTTCACAATACCCGATGACGTAATTTGTGGAATTTTGTTGCAAGATCCATCAGCGAAACAATGCCATGTGACGTCAGCCTAGCAACAAGGTTGCTGGGGTCATCGAGTGTGCATAAGCTCCTCTCAGTGATCTATCAACTCCACACGCAATGTCGTTGAATAAGCCAAGGGATGTCGAGAGCTTTCAATATTTGTTCGTGAAACGTGTTCCGAGAGTACATAAGCACGCGTTTTGGTATTACACAATGTGTAATACAGCTTTGTGTTTATTAAACGGGTGATCTCTTCACGGTCAAGTAATAAATAGCTCTAGTACACATGTATGTCCATTGTTAGCAGCGCCGTTAATGTACAAGAATAATACAGAACATTTGTCAGTCATTGCCATTGGTAGTTCAATTACAGATGCCCAAACATTTCATTTCCTCCCCGTAATTGATTGTGTCAGTTCTTTTCACAAATTATTTACATGTATAAAATATCACGGAGAGCAAATTGTGATTGCACCGGTGACATGAGGCATTCTACAGTAAGACTATCTTGACCAATGAGAGCCATGCTGTCAATTCACGTAGTGTTAAACTATCCATTACTCTGATTGGTTGTTGTGTTTTATAGATCCATCTTTGTGGGTGCAGACAGGGAACTGGCCTTCTGTTTTTACCCTACTCATTACTCCTCCCTCTGTTGTTAGGGGGACGGTCGGGTAGCCTAGTGGTTAAAGTGTTCACTCGTCACGCCGAAGACCGGGGTTCGATTCTCGACATGGGTACAATGTGTGAAGCCCATTTCTGGTGTCACCCGCCGTGATATTGCTGGAATATTGCTAAAAGTGGTGTTTAACCATACTCACTCACTCACTCACTCTGTTTTTAGGCATTTCTAAATTCTGTGATGGTCTTTCAATGTTTAAGTTGTCTTTAGGGACTGGTCATTTATTATGAGGTGGGAGGTGGGGTCATGGAAAAAAGATGACACATCACAAGAGGGGGGCCAAAAAATTTCTCAGAGTAATTGTGGCACGGGGCTATGAAAAAATTACAGTTGATTTTTTTCAAATTAAAACATCACAAACTTGAAGCCAATCTCTGTGTGTGTGTGTGTGTGTGTGTGTGTGTGTGTGTGTGTGTGTGTGTGTGTGTGTGTGTGTGAGCGAGCAAAATATAATTGTTAAATCTTTTTGTCCTTTATTGATTTCCTTTCTTGCTTTAGGTTGTTTGTTTGTGGGTCACCTGTTTCAGAATAACGATTCATACTGTTTTTTTGGTTTTTTTAAATATTAAGGTGCTTCAAATATTTTTTGGATTTTATTAATTAACTCATGATGCGTATTTTGCAAGCTTAAACGTGCAACAGGAGCTGATATGTCTTGAACTGTTTGTTGCATCTTGTAGTATTTTCTGTGTATAAAACACTTTCCTGCTACTTTGTATAGTGTCACCATTTGTTTACCATGTCACTTTTAATGTATAAGGGTTGTAATTAGAATTTGATACCATGTGATTTTAGCTGACGAATGTGCACGGGCGTTGATACTTCAAGGGAGGTAACTACGGTATGGAACGTTGAGCTGGGGGCGTCAGTGACGGGCTATCTGTCCCACAGCAGATCAGCCTGAGATTTTATTTATCAAAACGTGTTTTTTTATGTTTTGGATGTGGGCTATATATTTATTGAATAAACTGTTTTATTATCAAGTTTCTATATTTGTAACTTGTTATTAGCAGAGACCTGTGAAGATCTGGGGTAGAAAAGGTCATCAGCTATCCATGCTTGCTGTAAAAGGCGACCATGCTTGTCATAAAAGGCGACTAACGGGTTGGGTGGTCAGACTCGCTGTCTTGGTTGATGCATGTCATCATATCCTAATTGCTGGATTGTCTGGTTCCAGACTTAACTATTTACAGACCGCTGTCATATAGCTGGAATATTGCTGAGCAGCATTAAACAACAAACCAACAATGTTATTAGGAGAAGTTCTATATCACAATGGTAATGTTGATAATAGTGTGTGGACCAGTCAACGATCACACACTATCAGGGTATGATGTGCATGGTACACACAATCAATCAGGCATATGGTCACAA